GGTGCTTCCAGTTCAGTGGCTAAGTCCCCTCAATTAAGCTTTACTCCAGTACAGGGAAATATGTTTTAAACTCATAATGCTTGTGACAGAACTATTTTAAGGACATCCAAGAAAAAAAAAATAGGTGGTTTGCTGTCCAGGCCATCAGAATTAACCATTTCTTTATAGATCATGGTCCTAGGATCACAGGGTCTTAGAAATGAAAGGAACCTTTGAGATCATCTAGTCCTTTAATTTACAAATGTAGAAAAGGATGCTTAGAAAAGAGAAGTGACTTATCTATTTTATAGGCTAACAATTTTTTGAAATGAGTTTATAAGGACTGTCTCTAATTCTAATACAATTTTTTCCCTTGCCACCTGATCTTTCTATGGAGTTTCATTTAAGACTTGTTAAAAAGGAACCAACCTATAGGGGTTAGAATAAATGCTTCTAACAGACCATAAATTAATACCTCTAATTACATACCCTATTCACAACGTTCTCACTTATATTTGTTCAGCCTCTCTCTACACGTTTCTTGGAATGTTTTATAATATAGTTATCTGTATCACTTGCCTTATCTATCTACTAGGCTCTAAGTTTCATGATTTTAGCAGCCTATATTCTGTCTATACTTTGTATCTGAAACAGCATTTAGCACAATGTCTACATACAAAATCCTTCAAGCAATCAATAAACAAGGTATTTATTAATTACCTATGCATCAGGAATTGTGCTGGGTGCTAGGATTACAGAGACAAGAAGGAAAAAGCCTCTGCCCTCAAGGACTTTATGGTCTATTGGTAAAAAAGACATGTATGTTGTTATTGTTCAGTCATTCTAACTCTTTATGTCCCCATGGACTACAACATATGGGTTTTTCTATCCTCTACTATCTCCCAAATCCTGTCCAAGCTCATGTTTGTTGCTTCCATGACACTATCCATCTTATCCTCCACCAACCCCTTTTCCTTTTGCCTTTAATTTTTCCAAACATCAAGGTCTTTTCTAAGTCCTGTCTTTTCTGAGTTCTGTCTTTTCATTATGTGGCCAAAGTACTTAAGCTTCAGATTCAGTATTTGACCTTCCAGTGAAAACCCTTAATTAAGTTTTTCAAGTATAGACTGATTTGATCTCCTTGCTATCCAAGGGACTCTCAAAAGTCTTCTCAAGTACCACAATTTGAAAACATCAATTCTACAGCACTAAACTTTCCTTATAGTCCCACTCTCCCAACCATACATTTCTACTGGAAAAACCATAGCTTTGACTATGTGGACCTTTGTTGGCAAGGTGATGTCTCTACTTTTTAGTAAGCTGTCAAAATTTGTCATAGCTTTCCTTTCGAGGACCAAGTGTCTGCTAATGTCATGGCTGCAATCACTGTGTGCAGTGTTCTTTGAGCCAAAACTACAAAATCTGGCACTACTTCCATTTCTTCTCCCTCTATTTGCCAAGAAGTAATAGGAACCATTTTTGTTTGTTTTTATTTTAAGCTTAAAGCCAACTTTTACTCTATCCGTTTTCACCCTCATCTAAAGGCTTGGTTTTTTTCTCTCTTTCTGCTATCAGAGTGGTAACTTCTGAAAATCTGTGATTGTTGATATATTTTTTCCCTCCTTCCTATTAGCTAACTCATATAGGGCTCACACAGGAACCCCAGCCCAAAACTTAAGCTATATCTAATTTTATAGGCTAGATACAGAGTACTTCAAAGTAGAAGAAATGTTGGTATCTGATTAGATTGATACCTTCTTGCTCCCCCAGTTCAACTGCCTTGCCTCTATGACTTGGCCTAGGCACCCCATGAAAAATGATATATACCTTTTAATACATAGGTAAGGGGAACTAACAGCATAGAACATTGCATAAGTGGTCAAATGTGATCCTTTGGAATTTGGGGATCTTGATTGTATTATCCAGTGTGTTAGCTATCCCCAACCCCCACTCTTAGCTTTATGTCATTTGAAAATTTATGAGCACCCATCATGTTACACTTTTTTTTCATGTCATTGATAAAATGTTAAACAGCAATGGGTCAACTATAGATCTCTGAGCTACAGTGGAGATCTCTTAGCACATTGACATAGAAACATTAACAAGCACTCTGAGGTTCCACCTCTGAATACACTTGATTGTTTCATCTAATTTATATCTCTCCATCTTCTGCTTATCTACTAGTCAGTAATCTGGTCAAAAAATGAAATGAGTTTATTCTGGCATAATCTACTCCTGAATTCATGCTTACTCTTTGTAATTACTGCTTCCTTTTTGAGATGTTCTCAAACCATCTCTTTACTTACCTTCTCTAGACAAAGTAAAGTCCATCATACTAATGTTTGCAGATTCTGTCTTCTTGCCTTTTTTTTTTTAATAGGACAGTTGCCCTTCTCTAATATGGTGGTATTTCTTCTGTCTTTCATGATCTGGCAATGGCTCAGTAATCATATCTTTTTAATTCTTTCTGGACCTGAGGATGTAGTCCATTTTGGCCAGATTTTTTGAGGTAATAGGGATTCACTGGAGTTTATTGCATGGAGAAAGCATATGGTTAGATCTGTGCTTTAGGAAAATTATTATGGAGCTTATATGTTGAATATAACAGAGAGGGGAAAGGCTGAGTTAGGGAGAATAAATGTCACTTCAATTGGTAGAACTTGTTCCAGTAGGTCCAATAATTCATTCATGTACTCAGATCCCTATATCAGTGCTATAAAACCTAAATAGCGACAAATCCTTGCAGGCTGCATGTTGGTTTAGAAACCACAAATTAACATTATCATTGTTGCATTGTATTTTTTTAATTAAACATTTCCCAATTATGTTTTAATCTTTTTTGTTTGTTTGTTTCATTCTGGAGGTTTTTGGGCTCTTAAGGTCTTGGGGCATGCTATATGAGTTTGACACCCGTTCTAGATCATCTTCTCCAGAGATCATAGTAAAGGCTTAATATATGCTTATGGGTGTTCTGATGAAATATTTAGCAGTACTTCATACATCTTCCTTCCTTCCTTCCTTCTTTTCTTCCTTCCTTTCCCAGAAATCTTTGTGGTTATAACCCAGCAATGACAGTGCTGATAACAGACCCTGTATCTTTCCTGTCATCTGATTTTATCCCAAGGTATTCAAGGCAGAGGCTTGATGAGACACATTTGCCCCATAACAAAGAAGAGAAAGTAATAACTACAGCGGCACCTTGGAAAGAGACTCTATCTTGCTCACTAGTTCTAGAAAATGTCCATTACTGTAGTTAGAGCACCTATTTTCCAAAAGAATGGTAAAGATAATTCCAGTATGGTCTGTTGGGTTTTCTTCACAAAGATACTGGTCTGGTTTGCCATTTCCTTCTTTTGTGGATCACCTTTTGTCAGAAATCTCCAGAAACTCCGGGTATTCTCTGGTCCATGGTGTCATGAAGAGTTGGAACACGACTGAACAACTGAACAACAAAAATTGTAGTATGTAATTCCACTGTATTCTCATTTCCCTGGCTCACCTCCTAGGATCAACATGAAGTCTTCTGAGGATTTTAGAAATTCTTCTTATGAGGTTCTAAACAGATATCCAGCTAATCCCCTTTATGTTTCTCTCTAATTCCTAGGTGCTCTGCTTTCTTGACCAAGCCCAAAACATTTTTATAGCCAACAAAAGATACAGGAAACAATTGGCTCATTCTCGCTGACATTCACACATCTCTGTGGCACTCAGGAGAGGGGACGGCATGTGTGCTTAACAGGAGGAATCAATCTTCCTGCCTATCATCCTCTCTTGTCTCTTGAACAAAGTGTGTTAGTCCAATTACCTCACTCAGAACAATTACCTCATTATAAACTGTCTTTTCCCCTGGGAAAGTTGTTTTTGAGCAGGTAGTGTTTTGAGAGGGGAGACAGATTCTTCTTTAAAAAAAAATAATTCCCCTTGTACATTTAACAAAAGTGAGTGAAGATAACAGAGTAACTGCTGACTATATAAGTCCCAATTAATGTCCCCAAAAAATATCTTTTATTTTTAATTAGAATTTATTTTTGTCCTAAGGTCAAAATGGGCAAGAGTCAATATTTTACCCATTTGAGTCCTGGCACCATTTGGCTAACTCTACTCTCAAGGAGTATATGGGGTGGGTTTATAGATAGAGTATGGCCTTGGCCCATTTCTCAGCGTCTTTAATTTCTTCTTGGACAAAGAAGAGGCAGTAGTATAAAGTACTTTGAATCGTCCCTGGATTAAAACCATGTACATGATTTATATAACTATTAAAACAATAGTAACAACCTTCTTGGTTTCATTTGACTATATAGATATAGATAGATATAGATATAGCAGGACAGCCTGACCTGGTCCCCTCATTGACATAAATGAAAGGTTATGTCAGAGCTCCGTTGTAGGAAATTAAGGGAGCTTCTATATATAAGAGGGCTATCTGCTGGAAAGTGAGAAATTCGGGAGTAATTTTTGGACTGTCAGTGGTAGAGAGGGGTGAGAGCTTGCAGCAGTTAGACAATGCTCAAGTTCATAAGGCAAAAGGAACTGACTTTGCGAGAGAAAATTCAGATCTCACGTGGAAAGTGAAAAAGCCAGAGGCAACACGTCATCCTCCCCCCTCCCCAAACATTCCTGTTTGAGCGGACCACTAGCTCTCCTTATGCCTTATTACCTCAGTCTCCTTCCGCAGCCCTTTTCCCCCTTCATTTATTCCTCAGGGCATTTTACTTCTTGTAGTGCATGAGAATAAACTGGGGGAAGAGAAAACTATGCGGTAGGAGAAGAGGAAGGAACTCTCCCTACTGGAATAGAAATAACTGTCTCACGCACCTGACCCTCCCTAACTACACCAGGGCTGGGGTACCAATCTGTTCCTTTTCATCCTCTTCCTCCTCCTCCTAGCCAGTTCCGCCCAGGCCCGGCTCATTGGCTGCTGCTAGAGTGGGGAGGAGAAGGACTTGGGGGGAGAAGAGGGGGGCTCTTATTAGGAATGCGGACTCCTTTCTCCGCTCCCGTAGTCTGGAGCCCAGCAGCAACGTGCGGAAGCTGGGAGGTGCTCAGCGTTGCCGAGTAGGGGAAAGGCAACAGCAGAGGCGGGCGACAGCTGTAGCTGTGACTGTCTCCCTGCTCTGGGGAAGGGATGGGGGCCAGTGCTCCCTTTGGGTCCTCATCCAGCGGCAGCTCGGGGCTCCATGCCCTGCAGCTTTAGGAAGAAGCTGAGACCACAGTCACTGGAGAGCTAAGAAAGGACACGCACTCTTCCATTTCTCCATCTCTCTCTCGGTGTGCTTCTCTCTCCTTCCCGTTTTTCCCGAAGGAAAAAGCAGGAGTGCTGAAGAGGAGTCAGGAGGAGGAGTACAGAGCATGGGGGGAGCAGCCCGTGGAGGAGGAGGAGGAGGACGACGTGGCGGCGGAGGCAGCTGTCCAGAAGGGCTCTACCGGCTCCTCTTGCTGGGGCTTTGCTGCTGGGTTGCAGGCGCTGCGGCTGTCCGAGGTAAGCTAAGACATGGGGATGCAAAGGGAGGGGAAGGAGAGCCCCGAGAAGGGAGCTAGATCCGAACATGCTGCGTGTTCTTGACAAGTTGCGTCCCGCAGCTCCGGCAGCAGCGAAGCGGGTTGTGAGTGCAACCAAGGCTGTTGGTCCGAGGGGAAGGACAGACCCTCGCCTCGGAGAGCCCAAGTTTGCCATTTGCGGCAATCCTACAAGTTGCAGCAGCCTGAATATCTGCCCAACCCCTCTCTCCGCGACCCTTTCATTTCACCCTTTAGTTTCCTTCCCACTCTGGGGAGAAGAATCACTGCAGAGGTGGTAACCCCTATAAACTCCTGCTTCCAGACCCCAGGTTCTTTCTTCTCTTCTGATGGGAAAAAGGTACGAAGCTCTGGGAGAAAAAGACTCAGATGCACCCAACCTCCTCGACCCCTAGCTGAGCTGTCCAGGACTTTCTACAGAGGGCAGAGGTGGGGATGGGGCTTAGCTTTGGGTAGAAAGGTAGTCTGAGAGAGTGACTTTACCCCTCCATTCACCCACCTCTCAGCCCCTGCCAACCTGAATACTCCGCTGCATTGGACTTACTGATTCTGGGCGAAGGTAAACGGAGCCTCCAGAAAGCAATGTCAATGCAGGAGTTCCCTCTCACCGCGCCCCTCCCATATTTCGGGCATCCCCTGTCCCCTTCTGATCCAAGGCACAGCATCCTTTAGGGTACCCTGTTCCCCCAAGCTTAGCCCAGGTTTCCTCTAGGTTGGGTGTGCCTGTGTTCATTGGATGGCTGTCTGGGAAATTCCCTGCCGGGTTCAACAGATCCTGCCAGGGAAGAGGAGGGCTAGGCAATTGGCCTGCCAGTCCAGTGACCTGGCCTTTCCTTCCTCCGTATCCAGCCCCCAGTGGTCTTGTCACCCGGGATCTCACACAGTCCTTACTGTGTAGTCCCGCCGCCTTATGGAAAAGCAGAGAAAGCTTGGCTCTTCTAGGGCTGGTGATGCAGACACCTTTTGCCTGAAGCCGTTGAGCTCCAGCTGTGTGTCATTTTGCAACTGGTTTCTGTTACACCTGAGGGAGGACACGGAACACCAACTTAAGGGCAAGTCGGGGATCCGTTTAAAAGATGCTCAGGTTCTAGTGACAAATAACTTGGCTTTCTATGCTCTCTCTCCCTTCCAAATAAAATTAACAGGAGTCTTTTTTTTAATGTCTCCTCTCCCCTCCCCCTCCAAGGCCAGTTTGGCCGTCGATTAAGCTTAGAAAATGTTACTGTTAGAAATTATTTGCCCTATAGTTGTCTGGTGTGTGATGGAGCGCAGCTGCCCCCCTCGCCTTCTCTTTTGTTTCACTAAACCTCGTGTAAATAGCAGGAAGATTGGAAGACCAGCCACAGCGGTGGAAAGGGCTCAGCCTAATCGCAGAAGAGCCGATATAATACCGTTTTGTTTTGTTTTTCAAAAGAGCTGGCTTGATTCTAGGCTTGCCTGGTATCAGGAAGAAGAAAAGAAGGTGTAGATCAAGCTAGCTGGTTTATAGCCCTTTGCATTTCATATCAAAAGTTTTGTTTGTTTAATGGAGCAACATTTTAGAAAAGCAGAGAAAGTTTTAAAAAAAGAGTATTTCTAACACCATACTATGGTGGTAAAGTACAGTTGCTGCAAGAATGTTAAAGTACAGTTACTGCAAGAAAACAGTATGCTTTAGCCATTCACTTCACTTTAAAAAAAGTATGTGGAATACTTTTTTCAGCTGTTTTTCTTTTGTTTTTAAATGGTACATTGTGACTGAAATTTTATTCTTCAACTCATTTTTGGTACTACATAAAGTTCCACCTGCTCTAGCCCTTAACTCTAGTTACTGACCCTTTCAGCTTTAAGATCATGGTTTGTGAAATTGTCTTCAAGGTAGATCTAAACAGGGCAGGGAACGTGTCCAAAAGCCTCCAGAAGTGGAGTTTTCACTGACTGTGAAATTCAGGATACAGCCTCTTATCTTCAAGCTGTCCCTTAAAGGGCTTCTGGAAAAACACACTGCACACTCTACAGGCTTTTTATTTACAACAAATGCCTTGCACGGATCATAGTAATGTTCGGCCACATGGAATGGAATGATAACTCTAACCAATATTTCTCTTGTAACATTTCACTCACTGGGGGCATGTAGCCCATTTCTCTTGACCTGTGTCAGAGATCCCTGAAGAAATTAGCAGGGAGCAGGCTTCTGAAAAACACAAAGCCACAGGCCATTTGGTTCTTAAACAATCAAGCAGCTGTGTACTGTATGCTATTGGTGTTTTCAGGTCAAAGATTATGTCTCTGTCTTCAGGGTCTCTGAGACTCATAGTGATTTCACATGGTTTTATATCAAAGAAAGGGATACACTTCTCTTATATTGCCATGGAGGTCATTACCCCCATGTGCATCTTGATAGACAAAGGTATGTCATTAAAGGATGTCCAAGAGAAATGCATTTTGTTTCGAATTCTCTTTGAACTCCAAGGTGCATGTCCATTGGGATACAGGATACAGGAAAAAGTCAGGTTGGAATATGTGATCTCTAAGGTTCTTTTTGCCTCTAACATTCTGTGAAGCTGTGACTCTATGACCCTTTCCCCATTTCATGTGAGGGATATTTTGATAAAGAAAATAACATTCAATGGCATTTCTCACTTGTGGTCTTTGTTACCTTTACCTAAGGCAATATCTGTTTCAGGTTTTTTGTTTTGTTTTGGTTTTTTGCCCCACTCCTTTTTTTTTCCTTTTCTTTCCCAGTTAGTTGATAAATATCTAACTGAGAACCTATAGTGATGTTTCCAGATGGTTCATGCTAATTGGATTTAAAGAACACCTATGGGAGGAGAGCTAGAATGTACTGAAGGTAGGGGCACAAGAGAAATACACTGTTTTTCTTCCTTTGTTAGTCTGAGAATTGCCTACTCAGGTTCCTGTGATTGCCAGTCAGCATGTTGGAGATGCATATTACTTATTTGTGAATACTATATATTTAACACTTTCCATCTTAAAAGCAGAATATTTAAAAGTTATTTCCGACCTGCCAAGTGTTAATTGAATCTGTGGCTAGCTGTCATGCTGATTGTTTTTGTTCTTCACTTTAACATACATGTTTGTAATAAGATTTACGGGTATGGCTAGCTATGATTTCTGTACTGTATTTGGAGAGTTGAATCAAAAAAAGCTAACTCATTGGATACAAGGAAGAAAAAAATCCTTAGAAGTCAGTCTAACTTGTAATGAGTTGATTTTAATTAGGTCACCCATTTAGTCACTTTGGACATTTTCCCTCCCCCATAACTTTTCATATGTACAAATGGGGCAAGAAATTCATGATCACTATATAGTCATAATGTAGCATAGTAATTTTTTTTTCAATACTTCAAGAAAACCAGGATTCCACTGGTATGGACACCTTCTATACATACCCAGATCATAACCCCTGTGATTGATTTTCATGAATTGCTCTGATTAAAAATGAAAACATAAAAGCATTTATCACCTAGTGGCCAGCCCTTCTGACAAGCTTCAGCTGTGCACTGTATGCTATTGGTGTTTGCAGGTCAAAGAGTATTTTCTTCAGATTCTCTGAGACCCATGGTGGCATCCTTTGGTGTTATATCAAAGAAAGGATACATTTCTGTGATGTTGCCATAGAAGTTATTAATTCAGGTCATATACCATATCCATTTGCAGTGAAAATTTGAAGGCTTTTTTTTTCTAGTTGGGAGGACATTACAGCACTTCTGCTTGATGATTAGAAGTCAAAGTTGTTTGTATACCATGATAAGACACCAGACAAGTTTTTTTTAGAGGATAAATGAGGTTGTCATCTACAAATACACAAATCCATAAATCCATTTAGTTTTATTTATTCTTCCATCTTTCCATGTTTAATGCCTACCACTTGTCTTATTCCTATTATTCTAAATATCTGTGTCTCATGGGGCTGTATGGGACTAAAGTTTCTACTTATTTGGTTATGCCTCATACTTTCCAACCCTGAGAAGGTTTTCCATCCCAGCAGCTCTAAATTTTCTTGCCTTTATAGAGTGGTCTGCATTCTAAATCAAGAGTTCTTTGAGTTTCTCAGTCCTCAATGGTAAATCTCCTCCATTAGACCTTGACCACCCAGGCAGGTGAAGATGATGTTAAGGAAAGCCCCACGGTTGTATGTGTAAGATTCCTTTGGGCCTTTTGTGTATAATAAAGTGTGTGTGGGGGGAGGGAGACCATGCATTCTAGAACACACACTTGCATTATCAAAGAACTTTAGGGGAACCATCTTCCTGTACTCAGATCACTCCTGAGCTATTAGGACAAATATTCCATTAAATCATATTGTTCATTTTGACTTACCTGTAATGGAATAATACACTTCCTCTTCTTCCTTTCTCTTTGCCTCTTTGTACTAATGCCAACATAGAAGTATTGTGAGTAACTTTCTCTGAGCATTCTAAACTATATACTCTAATAAGAGAATGCCCCTCCATGACCAGTTTATCTACTCCCTAATTCACAGAACTATTGAAAGGAAAGTACCTTATGAATTATAAAGCACTATATAAACACAAGCTATTGCTGTTAAAATAGCATTTGTTATCAAATATCTCTCCTGCAGTCCTTTGATAACCAACTATGGCACAGAGCTGATCCTGGGTTCTCAAAATGAGTTCTAGAAAAGTGTAAGCTGGAAATATTTGGAAGTATGGTCTGAGGCATAGGCTGAATGTCCATAGTTTGAACTTAACTACCTGACTAAATATAATGGGGCTTATCCTGAGAGTTCTGGCTACTGAATGATAATTGTTGCTGTTTTGTTGGGGGCTGGGTGGCATATGTTAACCAATTACTAAGATATATAGGAGGTTGTACTCTGTGTCAGCAGAGGGACCACAGTCACTAATACAATCCCTGATTCTTCATGCATTAAAGTGTAAATTATCATCATTATAATTGTCATCATTATCAATACGTGTAGCCAAAAATGGAAACAGG